AATTTAGATTTTTTTAAAAAAATTATACCAATGACTTTAATTTTTTAACACTAAAAAAAATAAAAATATCTTCATATATTTTAAATTGTTTAAATTTATTTTGAAGTACAGTATTTTAATTAAAAAATTATTATTTATTAATTAAAAGTTATTACTCATTAAATATTATTTATAACAATAATATAAAGTTAATAGTCATTTAAACCCTCGCCTTAACTACTTGAGGTTTAGGCCTGATACTGTGCATTAAAATGTCACTCGGGATGAGGTATTAGAGGCTGCTGAAGAAGTGTTTGCTAATGTTGTACTCATACTTCGCCATTGTCTCATTGTCTGTGGCAGCAAAAGCACACGAAGATCGCGAGAATCAACACCAAGTTCTTGTTTGTGAATGTTATAGTGCTTCATGAAAAATTGATTTTTCTGATTTCATGGACATGATATTCAACCATGTGACTTTGTTTCTAGTTGAAAAGTAACTTTCTCATGTTGTCCTTGTCCCTACTTAAGTGGTGGTTTTGTTCTCTTTTCGACATTTTATATACTGCTTTTAGGGACGAAATCTACTATTTTATATTAATTAATCTGATAAAATGTGACATGAGATTTGATGTGTTTTGAAATACCCCTGACCCGGATCTGCGTTGCTTGATGGCATCCCACATCACTGTCTCATTCTCATGTCTCCACAACCCTTCAAGAGATGCCAAATTGTTTATAGCAAAACGGGGAGAGTGACAGCTCCCCTATTGTGCTACGTGTCTATTCTTTTATTGGTAGCACTTCTTGTATTATCAGTGACTTGCTGCCATCGTTAGTAAATTCCTCTAAACGCTGTCAAATCGTTATTTTTAAAAGTATAATCAAAATCTATAAATTAATTAAATATCATTTTATAACTTTTATAGGAAACTGAGCCCAAAGTCTCGTAGATGATGCCATAACAGCCATAGCGTATGATGTTTAAATTACGTACCACTGTGTGCTACGCTGATTCATTCATTTTCGTGATCAATAATGGATCATGCACATGTTGTTAAAACGTTTTTTATTTTCTAATTAAAAAGAATGAGGCTGTGTTCGGTGCTTGGCTCTTCTTAGGGTTCTATGCGTCTGAGTATAAAAGTTGAAAAGTAAAATATAAAGTGATAATATTTCCTGTTCAATAGTCTATAATAGACTTTTTTTTCCTATACTAAACTCGATTAGAATCAACTTTTTCACACTTTTCTTACATTAAGGGGATTATATTCAAATTTACTGATAAATGGTAACATGTACAGGAGCAACAACGAAAGTTGGTTAAAATCGATTTATATATAATAAGAAAGTCAACTAAAATTGACTTTTATTAAATACAAAACATGATATTTTTATAAGCATATTCTATTTAGGGAATTTAAGTAATATGCTAATTTTTTTAATTTTATTTCTGTAAAAAAAAGCCACAAATAAAAGGTGGGTTGGAAGGCGTTTACAATAATAGACACCAAGATATATTAACATATTAAAAGGTAGAAATGTATTACTCACAGTTCGATAAAGGCAAAGAGAGGAAGCAACCATCACCATTAGAGAGTAAGAGAGAAGGCGTGAGAAAATGGAAGAAAGGAATATGAAAGGAAGAGTGTGTGTGACAAGATGTGTAGGGTTTATAACTTGGAACAGAATTTGTAAACACAAATCTTAGGAATCTAGATTTCAGAGATATTCATCCAACAAACCTAGCATATATGAGAAAATTAGATTGGCGATAAATAAATAGTCGTAATAATCTTTAAGTTAAGGTTTTGTTAGCTAAATATAAATCCAATATAGAGAATTATTCCATTATTTCTCACTTAGATTTTTTGCTTTGCTAGGCAGAAAGGTATGTATAAAGTTCTGGCTAGTTTAAAGAAAGTTGTTTTAGATTATAGGCAATGGCTTTAAAACCAGTTTCTAGGATGAGTTCTGGATTCCTAGCATTAAAATATTAGTAGACTTCAATCACAATGTTCCAGAATTTTTGTTGAGTTTCCTAATAGCTTGTTTTATATCAAATAATGATTGTGATTGGGAAAAAAATATTCCCGTACACTACAATTTAAAGTAAATAGGTTATTAGCAGTTTGATTATTTCTTAAGCTAATGTTGATCCTGATGTGATTAGTTGGTTTCCCTTCTCTAATGAATTTTTTGTAATGTTCTACTTTTTCTTTTATAGAAAACTAATTTTGATTGTGATGAAACTAAATTATTTAGTTTGATTAGGAAGTAGCAAGGTCATCCAAGAATCAAATTGTTTTTGTAGAAAGTTGTTAGTAGAAAACTCTTAACAAATGGGAAGGTTAAAGAAGGATTTTTCAAAGTTCAATTTATGTTGTATAGTCAAAATTGTGATTTTCTATATGATATTTGGCATATTTTTATTATTGAAAATCATTAGATTCTATTTTTTAATCTGAGTTTAACTAAGTGGCTATCTTTCGATCTTAAAAGTAATTGTTTAGATGGTATTAATTACTTGAATATTCAATTTGAAGTTGCTATATGATTGTTATGGTTAAATAGGAATGATTTAATTTTTAATAAAAAAAATCTCTAGATTTAAAGGATTTTATTTGTAAGCTAAATTGTCACACTAGAAATATAATCTATGATTGTTTTATCTTCTTCTCTTCTTTATAGGACTTACAAGCAAGAGTTGTTGCCTGAACCTATCCTCCTTTTCATAGATTCAAACTTAATGTGAATCATTCAGTTCATGAAGTTTAAAGGGCATCATGTGAAGGATTAGTCAAGAATGAACGGACTAAATTATGTGTTAGTTTCGTTAAGAAAAAAACTAAGATCTTGCTCAGTCATCTATTTTGAATTATGAATTTTTTTTTTTTAATCTTAAGCTGATTAGAGATCCCAAATTAAAGAGTATTTGTTTTAGTTGAAATGTATTTTAAATTAGCTATTCTTTTAATAAAATATAATATCTTATAAACTATAATTGTAATCAATTCTTAGGAAAGATCAAAGTACTTGTCCATTCCATTAAAATTGTTAGTTTTTAGGAATGTAATCACAGTTCCTTAACATGAGTTAGTTTTTGAATATCTTCACTCTCAGCTTGTTCTCCATCTTGAGAGAGAACAATAAGGAGAATTTTTTTTTAGAATAATTAGGTAACCTTTTGTTTTTATTTGAGTTTTTGTCTCATTAAAAAAAAATAAGTATGATTAAAACTTCTCTAAAAGAAAATAATATGATTTATTCTAATTAATGTACATGTTTTTTTAACATAATAATAATAATAATTTATTTATTTATATATATACTCTTGATTAGATTATTATTTTTAACTCAAATGATATAATACCAAACAAATAATAAATAAGTATAACAAATCTAACAAGTTAATTATTATTGATGTACAAGAATAACAATAATTCGTAAGTATGTATAAACTAATATGTTTTATGTATTCTAAAGTTTTAATAATTTAGTCATATTTTATCTTAAATTTAAAAAAGAAGAAAAATGTATTTTAAGAAAGAGGATGAAGATCAATTCTATTTTACTCTTAATGCATTAACTCTAATAATATACTAAAGGCGGAAAAAAAATTTCGATAATCATGTTATCTTAGCTTAAATAATAGTTATTAACTTTTTTATAATTGATTTTTATTTTTCTTTTGTAAAATAACATGATTATATTTTTAAAAATATTTAATTTTTATATTTTCAAAATATATTTTTATATAGTAATAAAATAATATAATAAAATATATTTAAATAAGCCAACCTGGTAAGATTCCTTAAAAGGATCTTAGGCCTAAAGTCGAATAAACTTTTAGTGAAACTTTAATATAATCTATTTAATAAATGAATTTGACTTGGCATAAATTAGACACAAACTAATCTTACGCTCCGTTTGCTTCCTTGAAATAGCAAGGAAATAAAATTGCAAACAATGAAATATATCAACTATGTATATTTTCTTCATTTGGATTACATGAAATAAAAGGTTGAAATATTTTAATTTGAGTGCATCCCACATTCAAATATTACCACAAATGTAGCCATGAAAATTTCTACAGTTTTTTTTCATTTGTATTTAATTATTCAAAAATAAAATTTATTTTATAACTAAAATTAATAAATAATTTTATATTAAGATAAAAATACATAATAAAATTTTACAAATTTAAAGTTAAATTTATTTTTAATTATTATAAAAAATTTATATCATTTATTCAATTTTTACTATTTTTTTATTTATATCTTTACTATTCAAAAATTTATGCAAAAATTAACTGATATTAAAATTTGTTGTTAAATATCTTTTTTATATTAACAAAAATATTGTATTTCTTAAGCAATATATATTCTAAATTTTAGATAAATTTAATTGAATAAATTTTGAAACAGTGTTTTACATTCATTATTATTATTATTATTATTATTATTATTCAAAAAAGAATAGTAGAAAATTATTGAAGAACTTCAAAAACCAAATCATTTAGCAGGTTATCGAAACCAACCTCAACCATATGTATTTTTTATTATTATTAAATCAGTAGATATAATTCAAAATTAATAAATTAATGACATCCCCAAATAAACTCAACCTAGTTTCGTAGCCTTAGTGCCCACCTTTTCTGATCAGAAGATTTTGTTAATATTATTGATAAGGACCGAGTTAAACATTTAAAATGATTAAATTTTAATTAAAAATATTTTTATTCTATTAAAATTATCAAAACATAATAAAAAAAACTTATTATTGTTAGTTTTTAAAATATAACTAAAACAATTTTGTAAAAGTAAAAAAGCCAATGAAAGTGTGATTCAATAATTAGTATTAATTAAGGCAGAAAAGTAAAAGGTGGATCATAATAATTGAAAAGCATTTACAATAATAGCCACAAGATATATTAAAAACAATTTGAAGGGTGGAGATGTAATGCTCACAGCTTGATAAAGGCGAAGAGAGGAAACAACCGTTAGAGAGTAAGAGAGAAAATGGAAGAAAGGAAATTGAAAGGAAGAGTGTGTGTGACAGGAGGTGCTGGGTTCATTGCTTCATGGATCATTAAGAGGCTCCTTCAAAATGATTATTATGTTAATTTAACTGTGAGACAAGATCCTGGTAATTATTTACACTTCTTTCTTTTTTAAAGAGCTATATTGTTCACTTCTCCAATTAAAATTCCTATATGTTTTGCCCTGTGGTTGGTCACAATTTGTGTTCCTCCTCAAGGTTGCAGAGGTATTCAATTGTTCATTCTTTAGAGAAAGAGAAACTTATATGAATACAGGGAGAGAGAAAGAGAATGAGCCTGAGAGAGAGATTAAGGTGAAGAGAGACAAACTTTGGAAAGAAAGCACACGATAGTTTTTTAATATAAATTATTCAGATGTCACTATTTCGGATGCTTGTAATAATATATCATCATTGCAATTGTTTTTTGAAATCATGTCTCAAAGTTAGAATTTTCTTTTGATGTGAAATTAAATTTTATTAACAGAATGGTTGAAGACAAGTAGGAAGGAGAAAATTTGATTCAAGCAACCAATATATAGCAATGAAAAGATCGGTATAAATGAAAGTTAAATCAAATTTTTATGCTTTGCAACTCGATTTATGCAAGAGTGCCAACGTAAATTATATTATAGAATCAGCAATATACTTACATCTTCAAAGCGTAGTTTAGGAGCTTTCAGTTCTTTTAACCTTCCAGTTTTAGTGCAACTCTAAAGTCAAATATTACATAGCTCGTGAGGCACTATATACAACTCATGGACATTCTGGCAAAAACTAAAATTTTAAGAAGCTACAGAAAAGTTTTTCCTTTAAACATCTAATTAATTATCCTTTTAAAGATTAAAATTATTACCAAATTAGTTTCTAAAAAATTTAAAATATCACTTTCGTAGTCCTTAAAATTGATTAAAGTGGTAAAAAAAATAAATTGATGATAAATTAAAATTAATCCTTATAAAACCTTAGAAAACGAATGTGGTAACAGTTTTAAACCTCGAAGAATTAATTAGGTAACCCAAATATTTGAAAAACTAACTTTGTAACATTAGAAGAGTGAATTGAAAGTTTCCCTATTTGTCATTTCTTAAAGTATATTTTTGTTGCCTCCCTGGACGAGGTAGAACGTACATCGAATACTCAATGAACCAAAATAATAATGTTTATTGTTAAAATAAATTATAGAATATGGTGAAGACACTAGCTTTCTTTACAACTTACCTGGAGCATCCGAAAGGCTACAAGTTTTCAACGCAAATCTAAGCGATCCAGAAAGTTTTAATGCTGCAATTGAAGGGTGCACTGGAGTTTTCCACGTTGCTTGTGAGGTTGGGCATCAAATAAAAGAACCTGAGGAAGTAGTGACAAAAAGGTCCATTGATGGTGCACGTGGCATTTTAAAGGCGTGTCTCAATTCAAAGACCGTGAAGCGAGTTGTTTACACTTCGAGTGCCGCTGCTGTGTCTTTCAAAGACAAAGAAGATGGAGTGAAGGATGAAAGCTTTTGGAGCGACGTAGATTATCTTAGATCTTCAAAGATACTAACTTGGTTCTATGCTGTTTCTAAGATATTAACAGAAAAAGCAATGCTTGAATTTGGAGAACAAAATGGATTAGATGTTGTGTCTGTGATTCCCACTATGGTTCTTGGACCCTTCATTACTCCTAAGCCTCCTTCCTCAGTCCTTGCTTCATTGTGTTTGGCATTTGGTATGTTGCTGCTTTTATTTCTTACCCACTCAATTCATAATTGACAGTTAGTTATAATTAATCACTCATGATCGTGAGTTAAAACTATATTGCTACTTTTCATATAATTTATTCCTAACCGATCTTAATAAGAATTTGTAGCATCAGAATGAGGTAGGATAACTCAATAAAATAAATTATCATATTCTCTTAGTTCAATATACATTAAGAACAGAAAAAGATATAAGATAGGATAACTTATCTTATCATCACCTCTTGTACGTACTTATGGTAACCATGCAACTTGGGCACCTTTTATACTTGATTTCTTTGTTCTTGTATAAGATTCTAAATAGTTAGAAATTTATGTAGGCACACATCCAGTTGGTTTCGCACTTCCAGCTGCTATGGTGCATGTGGATGACTTGGCTAAAGCACATATATTTCTTCTTGAACATCCCAATCCAAAGGGAAGGTATATATGTTCATCATGTTATGTAACAGCTGAAATGGTATCTCAAATCGCTTCTACTAAATACCCAGAATTTCAACAAAAAACACCAGAGTGAGTTTCTATTCCACTTCTTGATCATGTTACTAATTTACACACTTGACTGTTTAATTTTTTGAGTAAATGATTTTTGTTTGATCTCTTTGGAATGAATTAGTACATTTGATTATAACCTCTTCCTGTAGCTCGTCCAAGCAAAGTCAAGTTATCAAGCTACCAGATTATTCGTCTAAGAAGCTTATAGACCTTGGATTTGTGTTCAAGTATGGACTTGAGGAAATGCTTGATGATGCAATTCAATGCTGCAAAGAAAAAGGCATACCTCTCAAGTGGTAGCTGTGGTCCCTTTTCTATGGTTATCCATGCAATGACGAGACCATACAAATATTATTTATCTAATAAATGGGTTATCATGGGATGGTAATTGGGAAGATGCTTCTGAGAATGGAGTGTTGTTGACTATAAAAACTAGCTATTGCAAGTCTGAACGATTTTGAATTTGTATGAAATCTATTAGTATTATGTGCTCTGTATTGGTTGATGCAAATCTACACTCGTGTTTTATAATAGGAATTGATAAGTTTGAGTTTCAAAGCCTCATAATGGAGAGGTGACCATGGAACATTCAGGTAATACCTTTCAATTTTTAAGTAATTTAGTTTATTAATTCATTTGTTATAAAATTTCTGCTCAAAAAAGTTACCGAAGACTCGAGTTTTAGGAAAATTAGCAAGTGTCTACGAACGTTAAAAATTAAAGTTCAAATATTTTAAAGGTTGTTTGATCGGTAGTAAAAAAATAAATTTGAAATATAAAATTATAAACACTTCAAACATTTATTTTTAGAAACTTTAAAAATTAGTTAATTAATCAAATATTCTATTAAAGATAATCAGTAAATACGATATCATGGTTAAGTTGATTTAAATAATTTTAAAATTTGATTAAAACATTTAAAATTGAAAGTTAATCATATTTGATTGGATACCTGGTTTGAAAAAATGACTTAATTTTATGCGAAAACCTAGAGACTCTAGACTTTTGTGGAGAGCACCTAAAAAATAATAATAAAATAAATAAATAAAAAGAGAAATTGCGTCGACATTTTTTGGTGAGGTGGCTGAAGGTTAGCGCTAAACAATTGGGTTAGCGTGTCGGTGGTGATGTGAGTGATTTGAAGTGTGAGAGGGATGTGTGTGAGGAAAGAGAGTAACTCTTAAAATAATGAATAAAAATTGAAAAACTAATGCAAATTTAAAATGAATGAGGTTATTATATCAAGAGAGAAAAATAAAAATAGAGAACAATCAAATTTTTAAAATATTTTAAAAGTATTTAAATTTTTTATCTTTTTTTATTTTGTTTGAGTAAAACAACACTAATCTATACTCATATTTTAATTATTTTAAAAATAAAGAGAGGTCCAAATACAATTAAGTGTTCACGTATAAGTATTAATTTTTAACTCAAAGTAATTAGACACCGTTAACATTGAAAGAGACATAAAAATGGAAAGCAATTAAAAAACATGTAATAAAATAGAACAAGATTGAAAACACACAAAAAATATATATTGAATTATTTTAAACAGAGATTTCAATTGGAAAATAATGGCTAATGGTTTGAACAAATATTTATGTGATAAATTAACTCTAAATTAATTCAAGCAATTAAAAACATGCAAGAAATTAGAATGAGATTAAACACACATAAAAAATAATATTAATTTATTTCAATTGAAAAATAATGTGTAAGGTTAGATTTCAACAATTTTTTACATAAATTAACTCTAACTTAATTAAGAAAAATTAGTTATGATTTAAGATAAATATACAAATTAGGTCATACTCAATTTTTAATGTTTAAACTCTTTTATATCGACATAAATTAATTAATTCTTTAATTTAAACCACATAAAAAAATTGTTTTTAAAATTTTGGTTTGTATATATAATGTTACAAGATTCTAAAACATTTGTCATGTTACAATGATAAATTATTATTTTATCATTTTATTTAAAAATTTTTAACATATTATATCATTTAAATTAATATTTTATAATTTAAATTAGATAATTTTTAAATTTTATTATAAAATATGATGACAATGTAACTTAGACAAAATATGTCTAATTATGAAAAAAAAAGTTATTAATAAATAGCAAAAAATGAAAGATTGATAAAAAAAAAATTTAACACACATGTTGACGTCAACATGCCTTGTGCTTAAGACTTGTTGCATTAGATAATAGAAATTTAAGGTTTTAAGAAGTTAAGTCATATTTTTGAATTTTACACTCTGAAAAGTGTTTCATTCTCTTTGCACCCAAGGCTTGCAACATTAGATAATAAAAAATTAGGTTTTGAAAGGATTAAGTCGTATCTTTTAAATTTTACACACTAAACTTACTCTCCTCTCTTTGCATATTAAAACTCCAAACTCTCATTATAAGCTCCTTTCCTTTTCTCCCTCTCACCTGATACCTGAGAATCGTGTTTTTATCATAGAAGATCAGTCATATGAATTTTCTCTTCTCTTATTATTATTTATTATTATAAATATTTTGTATTTAGTTATTTTTATTTTTAAATTTATGACTATGTGTAATTAAATATATTTTCTCATAAAAATGAATTGATTTAATGTGATATAACTCCTCTTAAACTACAATTTAATTTTATGCAATTAATTTTTTAATTAAAATTATTTTCTTATTATTATTTTTATTATTGAATTAATCCCTTAATTATTAATCATAAGTAGCCAATTAGTAGGCAATTATATCATTAATAGGTTAATAGAATTAAAAGATAATTTTAAGAGTTAAAAAAATCAATTTATTAAATGTCTAATCAATTAATTAAATTTAATGAATATGATATCTCTTAAGTTTTTATTTATCTTATTAGCTTATATAATTTTAGAATAACATATAAATAAGAAGACAATTATTATTCTAGATCATTACGGAATATTAATAATTGCTTTAACACAACTAAATAGAATTGAATTAAGAAATATAAAGATAATCAATAAAAAGAAATCAAAGCTTCAAAATTTTATTTATATCAAATTAATTTTGCAATTTTTTTAGTTTCTTTTTAATTCTAGATTTTATTTCAATTCAAATATTCTCATATTGTGAATTTGTTTAATATTCAAAAAACAATAATAATATATGTTTGCAATATAATTTATATAAGAACAATACTAAGATGATTTAAAATAATTTCTTTTATTACAATTAAAAATACACTTGTCTGTTAATTTAAAATATTTTAAACAGTTAAAATCTACAACACAACCATTTATATCAATGTTTGGTCTAATAGAAGAATCAAAATCTAACTTAAATGAAGATTGGCCCATTTCATTGTCGAGGGCTGGGGAGCAAGGTGAAGCAAAAAAAAGTGTGTAAGATTGTTCGCTGTGAAGGTCTAGAGTTTGTGGCGATTCAAGAAACAAAACTTGAGACATGTAATCGTAACTTATGTGCATGTTTGTGGGGTTTTGTAGATTTTGATTGGATTTTCCTGTCCTCGTTTGGCAAAAGCGGGAGTATGCTTTCACTTTGGGATACTTCCAAAGGTAAAATACTTTTCTACTTTTTTAATACTGGATTCCTGGGTATTTGCTTGCAGGTATTGGCTACTGGAAACCTATGTATTGTGGTGAATGTCTATGCATCATGTAAACTAAATGAGAAGATAAAGTTATGAGATGATTTGCTCATGACAAGAAGGAGTTTTGGCAAATTTATGTGGTGCATATTGGGTGACTTTAATGCAGTGAGGTAGGTGAAAGAAAGGAAAGATTGTCAGGCAGACCATAATATCTCTGAAATGGATTACTTCAATTCTTTCATTCAGGAAATGGAACTTGTGAATTTTTCACTTATGGGTAAGAAATTTACATGGATAGGAGGAATGCTTCTATGATGAGTAGGCTGGATAGAGTCCTTATTTCTGGTTCCTGGCTTAATTATTAGGGAGATGGTTTTATTTAGGTTTTGAATAGAGATGTGTCTGATCATTGTCCCATTATTCTAAAGTATAAAGTGGTTAACTGGGGTCTGAAACCGTTTCGATTTAACAATTTTTGGTTGACTCATAAGGGAGTTGTGGAGGTGGTGGAAGAAGCATGGAATAGAAATATTACCCTTTCATGAGCTGCCCAGAGAGCTAGTCAGATGTTGAGGAATATTAAGATTGCATTGAAAAAATGAAATATTAAGGTGTTTGAAAATATTGATAAGGTGATTTCTGATTTGACAACTAAGTTGAGTTTGATTGATGATAAAAATTCTGTAATGGAACTTTTCGATGTGAAGAAGGAGCGTCAACAGATATTGGTGGTTGATATTTGGAAAGCTAGGAAGAATAGGGAGAGTCTTATAGCCCAAAAAGCTTGGGTGCGATGGGGGAAGGAGGGTGATTTAAATACAAAGTTCTTTCATTTGTGTGTTAACGGAAGGAGCTGACGAAATAATATACATGCGCTTCAAATTGGAGAGAGATATGTCAAAGAGGTTGATAAGATTAAAGCATATATGATATCTTATTTTGCAGATCATTTTAGTAGTAGAGGTTAACTTCAACCTACTATTAATGTTAATGATATACCGAGAGTATCTGTTCTATAGAATGAGGGGCTTGTTAATGCTTTTTTGGAGGAGGAAGTGGGGAGGATGATTTTAGAGTGTGATGGGGATAAAAGTTTGAGACTTGATGGTTTTAATTTTGTGTTCCTTAAGAGGTTTTGGGGAGTGATCAAGGAAGAAGTGATGAGTATACTTACTGAATGTTTTAGAAATGGGAAACTACTTAGGTCTTTGTTATCATACTTTATAACACTTATGCCAAAAGTGTCTTGCCCACAACAGATATCTGATTTTTGGCCTATCTCATTACTAGGTTACCTTTATAAGATTGTTTCTAAGCTTTTGAAAAATAGGTTGAAAGCGGTTCTGGATTCAATAATTTCGGAACAACAATCAGTCTTTATCCTAGGAATGAACAGTTAGATAGTGTGCTTGTGGCTAATGAGACAGTTGATTATGTGCGGAGGCATAACAAGAGGTGTTTTGTGTTAAAGCTTGATTATGAGAAGGCTTATGATTTGGTGGAGTGAGGATATCTTTTGTTTATGTTACGTAGCTTTGGATTCTCAGAAAAATGGATCAGTTGGATGGAAGCTTATGTGTGGGGGGTAGCCTGTAAGCTTTAATTAATGGTTGTCTATATTGGAGGTTCATATTGGGCGGGGCCTAAAATAAGGGAATCCTCTTGCCTCTTTTCTTTTTTGTGGCAGCGAAAGGGTTAGGAGTTTTTATGCGAAAGGCAATGACTTATGAGTTGTTCTCTGGTGTGACGATTGGGGTAGAAGGACCGAATATTTCTTTGTTGCAGTTTGCGGATAACACATTGATTATGGGAGAGGCTTTAGTTTAGAACTTATGGACTTTGAAAGCAGTATTGCATAGCTTTGAATTAATATAAGGTATGAAAATTAACTTTCATAAAAGTTGTGTATTGAAAATTAACACTGGCAATGACTTTAAAAACTTGGCTACGGAGTTCCTACATTATAAGATTGGTAGTTTTCCATTAAAGTATCTTGGGTTACAGTTAGGTATTAACCCGAGGAAGCCTAGTACATGGAAGGGTGTGTTAGAGACTCTTAAAAAGAGGTTGGTGTCATGGAAGCATAGGTATTTATCAATTGGAGGCAGGATGACTTTGATTAATGTCGTTTTTAATTCTATGTCATTGTACTCGTGATTCTTTTTTAAGGTACCGAAGTCGGTGATAAAGGATATTATCACTATCTAATGGAATTTTTTATGGAAAGGTGTTAACGATGGATCTAAAATCCCTTAGGTAAAATGGGAAACAGTTTGTGGACCACGAAAGAATAGTGGCTTGAGCATTAGGAATGTGCAGTAGTTTAACTAGACGCTTCTTGGTAAATGATTGTGGCAAGGTATTAATTGTTCTAGTTCACTGTGGGTGTGGGTGTTGGAAGCTAGGTATGGCAGATTAGCTTCTTCTATTCAGTGTTCATCAGTCCACAATAAATGTTCTTTGTAATGGCGTGATTTGCTTAAGGTTATTCATCAAGGAAATTCATGACTGGATGAGAAGTTAGATAGGAGTGCGGGTAAAGGTTTGCACACTCTTTTTTGGAGAGATAAGTGGGTAGGCGAGGTGCGATTGTGTGAGGCATTTCTATGATTGTTTACAGTGGCAAAGAATGTTGAATCTTTTGTATTGGAGAATGGTTTTCATGATGACACTAGGTGAGTTTGGGATGTTAGTTGGAGAAGAGAACTTTTTCAACATGAGATCTCAAGCTTTAATCTTATATTAGAGCTTGTGAATAGAGTTTCTATTAAGGTACTACAAGAAGATAAATAGGTATGAAGAGCAGATTCTTCAAGCTGTTATTCAATGCAATTTGCATATTCATGGCTATTTGAACTTTTTGGTGGTCCTAATATTGTAGATCAGTATACGGTGGATGCCTTGCAAAGGCTATGGAGAGGGAAGGTCCCTCTTAAGTGTCTGTTATTTTCTTGGCAATTATTGTTCAATGCACCTCCTTGTAAAGGTTTACTGATTGATCGTGGTGTTTAAATTGATGATATAACTTATTGTTTCTATCATGATTTGGAAGAACTTCTAACTCATTTGTTTTTAACATACTCAATTTCATCTTAAATCTGGTATTTTACTGCGCGTTGGCTTAGATTCTCACTGGTTTTCCCTTCAAATTTATCGACTCACTTGCTTTTTTGGGTTAGTATTGGTTATAGTAAAAAAGAAAGGATATGCTTATTAATTGTTTAGGTAAGTACAGTGTCATCTTTGTGATTACATGAAAATCGAATTGTGTTTTCAAATGGTGTTTTAGAGGAGAAGAAAGTCCTAGATTCTATTATTCTGAAGTCTTGGAAATGACTATCACTTATTAATAAGGGAGAAGCTATTTTGTTAGCTGATTGATATTTGAACCCACGAAATTGCATCTATCTTAGATATGTATAAGTATATTTTTACTTTTTATTTTTCTGAATAAGTATTAGTTTTTTTTCTATGTATATGGGTTTTGAGTTTCCCTTAAAATCTCTCCAATAATATATATTTTACTTATAAAAAAGCAATCTAACTTAAATAACAACTTAACAAAAACAAAAATATAATAATATTAACTACGAAGATTATATCTATCAAAATGAAATATTTATCTTTAAACTAATTAGTTTATGTGGATTCAGAGTCACTCTAAAATTGTTTTTAACCTAATTATAAGTGATAAGCATAGATTTTTATGGCATGCTATTTCTTTTAATTTATTGTATTTTTATAATTTTTAAGTTTTTAATTATTATTTATTTAGTGAGCTAACTTAAGTGAACGAATTGAGTTTAGTTAATATTTTCTTAACTCATGGAAAAGCTAAATTCAACTATATTAAGAATTAATTTAGGCAAATTTCTGAAAAAGTTTTTGTAAAAAAAAAATAGTATATACAACACAAATTAAGTTGGAACAACCTCCAACCTACTCATCTATTCAGTCATAATGTACATTGTATATAAAAGTATGTTAATATATAAATATATATATATATATATATATATATATATATATATTATTTAATCCAATATTATACTCAATTATTTGTTAACATTAAAATAATTTTACTTGAAATTTTTTTAAAAATTGTTGATAAATTAAATCATAAAATTTATAATATCTTTTATATTTTCAAAAAAATATTTATATATTTATATATTTAAATTAAGTATAATATTATCCTGTATACTGCATATATTATCACACTAGATTAATAATGAAAGTAATGTAATTTGATTCAGTTTAATATTTATCTTGATTAGTTTAAATGAACCCTGAAATGATGGTTGCTAAAGAATAATTTTAAAATATATTAAATAGACAGTGAAATGATTACATTATTATTGCAGTGTCATGTGGTTCAACTTATATGGACAAAATCTTCCTTTAATATATATTCAAAAGTTAAAATATGCATTCAAATTTAAAAAAGAAATTCATTTATAAGTAACTTTTTACATATAAGTTTTTGTATTTATAACATTGCTATCAAAAATTATTATTTATTAAAATGCATTTTTAATAAGTATTATAACTACATAGATAAAATTAACAAAATATTTATATAAAAATTAAAATATATACTTTCTAAATATACAAGCTAATTCATAAATTAGTGATAAATGAATAGATAAAATATGTATTTTAACTTTTATATAGTATAATATAATATACGTGTGTTCAGCGTAAAGAATTAAATTTGGGTGTAAAACAAAAGACAATATATCCTTTTTGTTACAATATCTGAACAACAATAATATAGGGCTACATTGATAATTTATATCAACAAAATTTTGGTAAATGTTTAATGTAATTGAATATTTGTACATGATAATTTGTGTTCAAATTTTATATATTTTTTGTTTCTTTTTTTTTCTAATATATTTTTTTGTTTCTTTATAAATATTAACTAGATCACATTTATTTTAATGTAAATTAAAACTAAACACAAAATTTCAACATTATCTCATATATTTAAATTTGAAATAGTTAAATTCTTGTCGTTCATAAAACTTCTAGTCTTCATTGCTAGGTTGCATTTTCTATGTTTACCATGAATCTTCAGAAATTTGAATATTTGACATTCTTCCAAACTTCTCTCCATGAAGGCTTAAATCAATTAGTTGCATCAAAGAATATCTATAGTATACAATTTTGCACAATTTATAGCTAGCTTCTTGACAACTGTATAAGTATCAAAATCATCATCTGATTATGTTTGTTATTGTGACAAAAGGTGATCTTTTAAGGAGACTTTGGTTGTGACACCTCTCACAGCTCTAAAAAGTAGATGACCTCTACATTAACTCTGGTATAAAGCATAAAATATAACAACATGATATAGCAAAGGATATTTGTCTCGGAATAAATACCAGAACAGTTTTATTTGGTACATTTACCAATTTTGTTTTTGTGACAATAATTATACAAGATGAAGCATCATGCAACAGTCCAAAGAAATTTTGGCCGAAAAACAATACATGAGATAGAAATTAAAACCAGAAAATCATTTTCTGAGGATTTGTTCTCTTTTTAATGTCTTCAATTAGCCTCCTCTTGCAATCAAGCTTAGCAAGAAATCCTTGTAGTTCCCTTTAGCTATCTCTTCAATTTTCTGGGATAAAGAAACTCCATATAGGTTATGGTACTCAGCCTTTATTTCCTTCATATCAATGTCAGCTCGAGTAACAATCACACGGGTAACCGATTTCTTAGTATTCTTGTCCACATCAACTCTCAATGCTGCATTCAAAACCTAGACACAAAAAACAAATATATGTAATTCATGAAGTTATAATTTTTTATTATAAAAAAGAAAAACAAGGGTTGGATTCTAAATTTGTAATTTCACCTTACCTTACTAAAATATATTTGTGGGGTGCAAAGGCATTGCATAGTCTCTTTAAATCTTAAATCATCAAGATCCTAGCAAATGCAGTGAAGGTTTAATCAGGAATAGAATCTCATCATGATCATATTTAATATACAATAGAACCTCAGAACTTAAGGTGTCATATAAAATGATATGAGGATTATTATAGAACTTAAAATGGCATTATGGTGCATTAGCAGTGTCTAATACCTCGTCAAGGTCCTTGCCAGATATCTCTTTATAGTACTTGCAAATTGCCTGAAGATGTGGCTTGCTTCTTGTTGCCAATATCCTTATTACTTCATCATCCTCATTTAAAGGCTTCTTATTAGCATTCTTAATCGCATTCGAAAGGATTTTGGCCTCTGATTTTGCAGTGTCATCTTTCACCTTTGATCCTTCATATCTATAGGCACTCACAAGGGCAACCAGGAGCTGCTTCCAAAAGCAATAGATGTTGACTTAGATATGTACTCTATTGCAAAGAACATGTAACAGAGACCGTATACGATCATACCCTTAAACATTCTTTGTAATATTTTATCAAATTCTTTTCGTATGTCCAATGCTACAAATTAAAAATTAATAAATAATGATTTTTATTATAAATCATAATATTTAATACTAGTCTTAATTAAGCATATCATCGTTAAAAAATTGCACAATTTAAATTTAGTCTTTATAAAACTTTTAATTAGGATATAGTTTCTATTTTTTACAAACTATTGTTTTTATTCACTTTTGCCGACGTAGACTATTGAAATACTGCAAAATGATACCATTTAATCAGATTAAAGATTAAGAACTATATTTTAATAAAATATTTTATAAAAATTAAATTTAAATTATGTAACACCAAACACTTAATTAAGTCTTAATATTATTAATATATTAAATTTTGTAATTTTCAATAAAAAATTTGTTCTATACAAGTTGTTATTTATTTTATCAAATACAATCTTTATCTCATGGACATTGTTTATAAAGTGAAGGATCATATAAGATGATCCATCTCATTTCTTATTTTCTTATTGTGTGACATTAGGCTTTACATTACATAAAACATTTAATTATAAGGCAATGGGCATATAGAGTGAAGGACAAATTAATTATTTTCAAACATGAAGAAAGAATGGTCTTATGGTAAAAGCCATAAGATGGTGCAAGTGAAGCTCACCTTTCGTTCAATGCCATGGATGTGAGAGGCAACATCTTCTTCAATGGAGTGGTCAAAGAGGGAATGGTAGGCTTTCCTTGCTCCCAATAGCTCTTCGGAGGATCGAGTGCATGCAATCTCAATAATCACTCCATATGCATTCGGGCCTTTCTTTAGGGCCTCTTTTACTAAACGGGCATCTCTTTCCCAAGGATGCATAGCCCAAAGCACCACAGCATTCTGATTAAATCAATCATATAAGGGACCACAAAATATGGACCAAACAAAACGTACCACAGATTCGATTATTGCAACTTCAGTTTTTCCTTTTTTATAAAAAAATATTTTTAAATAAGCATTAAAGACTATAATATGTTTTATATAATAAATATTTTCTCTTTGACAAATGCCACCCACCATTCCATCACTTATAACTTTGTGATATTTTTATTTATTCATTTTTATTAAGTCCCTCTAAATATGACGAGTTTTTTTTATTTAGTTTATTATTTTATGAGGATTAAATAAAAAATTTATAACATTTATAAAGATTAAATAAAAAACTCATAGAATTTTAATAAAATAAATAAAAAAACACCGGAAATTACACAATATAAAAGTATATTACAAATAATTCATTCATTTTTGAAAAATTAACAATAAAAGACTAAGTAAAAGAAATTATAAATTTCTGAAACCTTTTTACATTAGAAAATTTTGCAGAGTAGACAGAAATTTTAAATATATAACAAACACAAAAAGGAAATGTACCTTAAATCGCACGAATTCATGCTTGAGAAGACGAACATAGTGCTCATCCCATCTCTGAAAATTGCGTTCATGATCCTCAGTAAACAAATGTGATGTCTTCTTCCTGAAAGATTCTCTCTCTAGTGGATCCCATTTTCCCAGTATTGTTATCAATGATTTTTCATCCACTCCATGCCCTGAAATCATCAATCATCAAACACCAACCATCATAATCATGAAGGGCACGCATATATAATAATATTTGAAAAATAGGAGAAAAAAATTGAGGTACTGTGGTGCAAGCTAAAGGGAGTGTGAAACGAAAGAGATAACCTGAGAAAGCTTGGGTCAGAGCTTCTAACTCTTGATTGAGAGCCATTCTGATTCTTCTCCGAGTCAAGTTTGATAGAGTTGAGACAAGTGAGAGACAGGTTTGTTCAATTAAGGGTATGGTCACTTTATAGGACCCTGCAAGGCTATTATCGTCATTTAAAATGTAATTAAGAAAAATAATAAGAAGCTTGCAGGGTTGTTATGAGTTTTAACCAATGGAATGTGAACACGTGAAATATATAAGTAAGAAAGCCACGTGTGTATGTGAACTGGGATGCGCTATGACTCTTTTGTCCCTTACCTCGTAGCTGTCTGAACTTGAAAGTGTTTTTCTTATATTTAATTAAAAATCAGTGAAGTCAGTAAATAACACTTTTTTTTAAGTAGAAATTATACTAATAATACCGTGTTTATGTTAATTACTAATTTTGAGTTTATATCAAATTGATGCTAATTTTAAATAAATTGACACGTTAACTTAAATTGTGATAGTAATTATGTTGTTTTGCTGACCGCAAAATATTTAAGGCAAAGTTTGTAACTTAAAATTAATATAAATTTAAATTTCAGTTAAAAAGCCAGCTCAAGAAATTAAATAAAACTATTAGAGAGAGAGAGAGAGTTCATTAATAATTTTATCATAAGTTATGTAAAGGGCATTGCAGTTGCAGCCATGCCCCTCAATTTTTAGTATATACGACTAAGGCCACAAGGCTGTTTCAATTTCTAATATGACCACTTAAAATGCTTATATCTAAAGATAATGCAACCTTTTATTATAACGAAATCAAAGAGAATGTTATATAAGGAAACAACTAAATAACTTACTTTTAAAGCTTTTATTTCCTCATCATTAGGGATGGCAATGGGTAGGGTATGGGTAAGGTACTACAGTACCTATCCCCATACCCACGTTTTAAAAAAATATCCGTACCCGGCTCCATACCCGCATGGATATGAATATTAATTCATGTACCCTTACCCGTTGGGTACCCGCATACCCGTCTTATACCTATTACCCGCGCTTGTTTAAGAAAAAATATTTATAAAGAAAAATATGTTTATATAACTTCACATAAGTAGCATAATAATACAAAAATTCAATATGTAGTTGCCGAACAAGGTACAAATATAGATAAAAAAATAAATATTTAAAGATCATAAATGTTAAATGTATCTTAATATAATAATTTTCTAAACTAAAATTCTTAGAAACAATAAGCAAAACTAAACACACAAGTTATTTGTCAGTGATAATCCTAACTTGTGTGAGATTTGATTGTTGGTAATGTCAGAACGACAACGAAATAGATTTGTACAATGGTTGTCCCTTCGTGTGGGATCACTTAGTAACCTCTTGTGACGACATTAACAACTAACTCTAATGAATAACATTTCATAGTTTTATTAAGTTTTAGCGAGACAGACATTGAGAATGAGAATAGAGTTAGAGTAGAGAAGTTTAATACTAACAACAGAAAGTTGATACATAAAATATTTTTTTTAACTTTTGAATTTGAAATTGTAAGAAAAATAATAGATTTAATTAAAATAATATAATATAATTTATATATATATATATATATATATTAATACTAGTATTTTTTAACTCATATACTATACAAAAATATTTTATCAAAAATATAAATTTTTAAAAAATTATTTTAGTGAATTAAATATTTATAATGTATATAAATTTAAAAAAAATAGAATTTGAATGAAAGATAAATAGTTACAATAAAATTATATAATAAAGAAATATACGTGTATATTAAAAAAATTATATTTTTTTATCTTAAAAAAATTAACAAATAAAAATTAATAATAATTTTTTATATTTATATCTTTTCAAAAACTTTTTTGAATGTGAATAAATAGTAAGAATAATATTATTTAGATTCAATAGATTATAGTTGTGCTTGTAATACATATGTTACATAGAAAAATATTATTTTAAATTAAAATATAAAAATAAAATTTAAATATTATTAATAAATAATAAGTTTACGGTAATAGTAGGTGATTGTAAAATTTATAAAATATTTATAATATATTTATTATTTATCATTCACTTTATGATTTAAACATCAATATGATTTTATTAACAAAAATATTTGTGTAAAAAATATTTTATGTGTGTCATATATAAATAATATTTTTTAAAAAGTCAATCTTATATTAATTATGTAATAATTAAATTGTGTTAGCCTAATTAAATGATATAAAATAGTAAATAAATTTTTCTATTAAAAATATAAACCAAAATAAATTTTTTGGTTTACTTTATTATTAAATATATTTTTATATTAATCTTATATAACTTCACATAAGTAATATAATAATACAAAAATTCAATGCATAATTGTAGAATAAAGTTCAAGTATATATATATATATATATATATGCAGATATGAGGCGGGGTGGGTACTTAGATACCCATACCCGCACCCATCCCTATTAAAATTTGCAGGTTTTTACCCACACTCATACCTGTATAGCGGGTAAATACTCTACCCATTGTGGATAAATTTTGCGGGTGCCCATCGGGTACTTTACCCATTGCCATCTCTATTCATCGTGGCCTTTTCCTTTTATTTTTCTGTCCATTCTTATTAGAAAAATAAATCATATTTAATGATCTACTAATTAAGGTTGTTATGTCTCCTCATCCGTAATCTTCTTATCTATTACAAACATTTTATATTGAAACTTCGTTGGAGCAAAGTTATCGTTTACAACTTCTATATATATTATTTTACTAGATAGATGTTACACGATATAATTTTTCTAATCAATTATTAAATATATATGATATGGATACGTCACACCGTTACATATCACATTCTCCTAGTAAAATAAATATTATATAAATTGCATATCACACTATTATATTGACAAACTTTGTTATATTTTTTTTTAGCCAACTTTTTAGTATCATACGAAATAAATATTACATATTATTTTAAAAATATGAAAATACTCAACAATGTTTTATTTAATAGTTATAAAAAATTACAAATATAAAAAATAAGAAGATTTAATCATCAAACGTGGTCCTACATCATCCATTTCAATTCTGGATGTTATCTATCTTGGCAAAATATGAATAAAGGTTGATCGTGACAATGGTGGTGGTGCCTAGTTGGCATTTTCGATTAAATTAATAGTAGAATGGGGCACGGGTACATTAATGTATGGAAGGTGAGGTATTAAAAAATGAATTCATGTTTATGAAAAACATGAATGGACTAGAATGCAGAAATTTGTTTGTTGTTTTACTGTCAATTATAAGTTGGACCCCACTGGATGTAACCTGTGATAGACTTTGACGAGGAATCGAATACTATTCACTTTATCGTTTTTCTAATGTGTAATTATAAACATACGATAAGAGATATAAAATATATTTTCTTAAATATTTTTAATAAGTTTTGTGTATTGTAACACATTTTTAATTAGAGAAACTATTTTCTTAATTAATTTAACATTTTTATCTTAAAAGCATTACAATTAGGTTAAATAGCTAAAAATACACATTTGGGTCATTATATAACAAATAAAAAAAATGATAAAACACTTATTTTTATAAATATGGATCCTATGCAGTTTTAAAAGAACCTACAGCTTGTAATTTAAATTCGCTTAAGCGAAATAAAATTAGTTTAAATAAATTTAATAAAAATTTATTTTAGTTTAAGTCAAAAAAATTTGTTTAAATGAATATAGTCAAAAAGTAATTTTCACTCAAGCTAAAAAATTGACTTAAGTCAACATTGTAAAAAAATTTAAAACTTTATCTTTTTCTTTTTTAAATTGCAGAAAATTTGAGAAACTTTTGTTTCTCACCTATGACTATCTAATTACCAAAAACTTTTATATATTTTATCTCATAAAATATTCTAAATATATTGTCTAGTGTACTATTTGTGTTAAACATTAGTAAGGTAGAATTATTTGAAATCAAGTTAAATTATTGAGAATAATGATAAGGATTATAGGAATGATAACTTTGAAAAATTTGTTGAGAAATAGTTGTATTATTACATGTTTTGAAACACTTACATTTTTGTTGTATGACTATAAAGTATGACCACATAATTTTACATAAATATTTCTCAACTTTTCTATAGTCTAAATAAGAAGAAGATAAAGTTTTGAAATTATTTTTGTAATTTTGACTTAAGTGAATTTTTTGACTTAAACAAAAATTATTTTTTAACCAAATTTGCTTAAACGAATTTTTTAAGCTTAAATCAAAATCACTTTTCGTTAAATTCACTTAAGTGAATTTTGTTTTGCTTAAGAAAATTTAAACTGTATGTTGCAATTCTTTCCAAAACTATAGAGGATCTAGATCATTTTTTTACACACATATATGTTCTATTAAATTTCCACAACTTTACATTATTTATTACAGTTAATTTCATTTTAATATTTTTTACAATTTCACTAATTTTTTGTGAGTATATATTTCCAAACAATTAATATTTTTATTTGTGGTGCTGTATGTATATATATAAAATATAATACAAGTTTATTTTTCACAATTAATATATGGTTATTGTAAAATTAGTATATCTATAAGATATTAATTAAAAAACTATTAGATAAACATTTTGATTAAAATTATTTTAGAAATGATTAAAATATGATAAAATTATATTAAAATTACTTTTTAATAGAAGTTTCTTTATTTTAATTCTTAACTAATATCTTAAAAGCATTAGCTAGCATTTTCTTTAATTTATTATGATAATGATGTATACACCCAAGAAGAAGGAGGCTTAAAAAATTGGTTTACAAGTTCACACTAATATAAAATGCTTTCAGGGCAAATGAATTTTTAATAGAAGTTTCTTTACTTTAAATGTTTAAGTAATACCTTAAAAGTATTAGCTACCATTTTCTTTAATTTATTATGATAATGTATTCAGCCACGAAGAAGGAGGCTTTCAAACATTGGTCTGTAAGTTCACACTAATTTAATTATTAGATTTTAACTAATTTCACAATCAATTAGTGACACGTATATGAGTGAAATTATTTATTAGTCAACATTTGCTCTCATTTTTTTTCATTTGTCATTAAATATATCATTTTAATTATGTTTAAAATAGTATTAATTAATATTATTTTCTCAGTTATATTCTTATATTTACACTTATCAAGAAAAAATAAATAAATTATTATGGTATAAAAAATAATAATTATAATTTTTAAATTTATATGGCATGCATTAATTTCTTTTGTTGTACATTAATAAATTTTATTTCATTCAACAAAGTTTCTAGACATATGACCAAAATTCACACCTTGATTAACGTGTATTTAAAAGAGTTAATTGTTTATCAACTATATCATGTTTTGTTAATATGTTAAACATATGTTGACTATGTTTTAAAATACGCTTAAACATATTCAGCGTCAGGTATTGATTACCTAAATTGTCTGCGAATGTTCACACCCTACAAAAAATTATGCATATTTTTGTAATTATTTTTTAAAAACTTTAGGTAATAATATATTCTTGTATTCATTGTTAGATCTATTTAATGTATATAACTGAAATTGTGAATCAGAGTTTGAATTAGTTCTTTATCAAAATTTTTAAGCTTAGTTGCATGAGAATTAAAATATAAAATTATATTTTTAAATTAAATTATAATTCTATTTTACAACTTCTAATTATGAATAAAATTATATATCATTTGAGTAGGAACAAATATCAATAAAACTATCTTACATGGTATTAATGACATTGAAAATAGAAGTGATCATAATCAAGACAATAATATATATATAGATTTTTGTCTAAATATAATAATTATATATAGAGAGTGGGGGGAGAAAAAGATCTTCTTATATTAGTGTAAGTTTAAAAATTCTTAAATTTGATCTGAGATTTTTATTTAATTTATATCTAATGACCAATAATAAATTATAACTCATTAGATGTAAGATGAATGAAAAGCTTAAATTTCAAATTTTTAATCTTACACTATTGGGAGAAGATCTTCCTCTATATATATATATATATATATATATATATATATAATTTTGTTAGTGCGCTTGTAACTTGACTTTTAGATTAGAATTTGCATTATTTGATAGAGATTTTTATTTATAAAAATAAAAATTTTAAATAAAATATTTTATTGATAAACAATTTGTAATTTTAATGTGAATTTTTGCTAAAGTATATGATATAGAGTTTCAGATGAACACAAACCTCTCTTTCTCCAAATTTTTTCTCTTTGACAGAAACAGAAGAAAACGACCTTTGATTTATAAAATGAATGAATCTCACGAGAAAAATAAAATATCATAAAGATAATGTGTGTATCGCATGTTCAACATGATTAATTTTGTAAGGTGCTAACTTTATCAAAAGTCAAAAGTCTTCCATAAAATTATTTATGCCCCATATATCCATAGCCACATGTTGTGATAAAAAATGAATCTCATTTTTTATAACCTGTAAATGAAATTCAACGGTTAGATGTGAAACGAATAAATTTGAAGATTTTAAGTCAGATCAAGCAATCCCTTTGCATTAATTTTATTAATTTTAATTTCAATTTGTATGCTTTTTTTAATTTATTATTAATAAATATACCTTTATTATTTTTAAATTCATATCATTTATTAAATTTAATAAGTCATATAATATATTTTAAACATTTAATTTAGTAATATTCGTACAATAAAAAATTACTAACAGAAGAAGAAGCTAAGCTAAGCTGTGGTCATAGGCTGACATAGTGACCTGCAAATGCAAAGCATGTGTTATCTGCTGATTTAAGCAGTGAGATTTACATTAATAAACATACTTATCCGAATTTACTCTCATGGCTTAAGGTCATTCCAAATTCATTAATTAACTCTTTTTTATTATTAAACAAATTCTATGTGATTTCTACTAACAAGATGATGATCCAAATTATTGTGGAAAAAATTATTCTAAATTACAGGAGTGATAAGTATAATGATAATAATTGAATTTCAAAAGAGGTATAATAATTGAGAAAACCTGTGAATAGGTCGATGTAACTATCCCTTATTTAATGAAATTGTTATATAATTTACTTAATTATAAAATGTATTCAATAAAATATTAAAAAATTGTTAATAACATTCCTCCTTTTTAAAAATATTTATCGTTTTATATTGTTATTATTATTAACAGTTCTTAAGTCTGGTTTTAAATTATTTTAAAATAAAAATAAATAAAAAGTAATATTGAAAATATTAATAATGTTAATAAAATTGAGGTTATTATCAAGGTTTAGATTTTTGTGAACGCAAAGCAATGACTTCCACGAGTTTTGGGGATGGTAGGTATGAATGGGACATAAATGTCACAATGGCTAGAAGTTAGATCCCACCAATGATGTTCAAAGCAGCGGAAGGAATTAAATAGCATTTTTTTAATTATTAAACGTAAAAATAATAATAACTATTTTTGAAATAATAAAACCCTGTACTTTTTATTTTGCATTTATTTTATAAAATATTAAAAATATATAAGGAAATATAACAAATCTTGTTTAGGTTAAAAATATATACCTTCTTAATACATTGGATTACACATTACATTCTCTATAATAATTTTTAAGTGTTTTATCAAAGTTCTCTCAGTACTAAAAAAAGTAATATTAAATGGAAAAGTAAATTTATTTAATATTTTTGAAACTACCAAATATATAAAATTATTCCAAAAGTAACATATGTCATAATTAAAATAAATTGTGCAGTTTCGAGAAATAAACATTCAAAAACTTCGTGGGATGCAAAAACAAATGTGAAAATTGTGGTGGGCTTTCTCACAAATCAAGAGGAATATTGTGCAAAACTAAATTTTCACTAACACAAAGGACTTCAATTGTAAAGATGAAAGTCAAGCATGAAAGCAGAACCAGGGGCAAAATGGTAAATCAGAAAAAATGTTGTCAAAATCTTAATATTTGCGAGCATGTTTTTGGATGATGTTTTGAGGAGGGAACAACAGGTGAAGCATTCAAAACACGTGCGAACTGTTATCTAACTTTGCCTTGTTTTGTTGTCACTGAAAACTCAGCTTCATTGTCTCGAAGAAATGGCTTCGTTGAAACTTCCAGAGGTTCTTCCTTCTGCTACCCAAGATAGTGAACGACTTAGAAAGGCTTTCCAAGGTCCCTCTCTCTCTCTCTCTCCCTCAAAACATAGAGACATGTTAATGCTGAAGAAAGTTGAAAAACTGAATTTTGTTATGATTTAAGTGATCACTAATTTGGGTAGCAAGAATTATGTTAAAAAAAACTGAAATTTTGTTGTTTCTCATTTTTGGGTTAATGGGTTTTCTCTCCACAAACGTTTTTATCCTTACAATGGAATCATTGGAATGTAATACTTTGATTTTATAACAAAGTTTTGATAGGAATATTTTTTCATGGGACATTGGACTTGGAGGTATTGTCAATGCTTTTGCCTTTGTTTTAGTCCTTGTTGTTTTCTTGCCTTGGTTTATGGTGATTTCTGTTTTGTATGAGTTGTTTTCGGAATTAGATATTTGATGATGATGATGATGATGCTTCTGGGAAAATGGTTATAGGATTAGGGACAGATGAGAAAGCGGTAATCTTGGTATTGGGACGCAGAAATGCCCAACAAAGGAAGGAAATCAAAGAAACTTATCAGCAGCTTTACAATGAATCCCTCATTGATCGTCTCCATTCTGAACTCTCTGGTGATTTTAGAGTATGTCATGCTTTCTTCCCTTGATTTGATTTTCTCTTTCCCTTGTTTTTAAGAAAAAAAATCTTCAACTTTCTGTTTTGTTGGCATGTCAACTGAAATAATGTCATGTCACTATTAGTGATTATGCTATTTTGAAAGTGTAGTTTTTCTTTGGTACAAATTGTTAAATTATGCTAGGCTGTAGATTGCCAACCAGCATTGGTCAATCATGTGTTCTATTGCCGACTCTAGATTTCAATTTTACTCTGATTTGATTCATGAGTATTTCAAATTTTACCCAATAGCTTTGGCCTGTTATTGTAAAGAAACAAAAAAACAAAAAATAAAAAAAATAAAAATTCTGGGGTGCTGTTTGGTTTCAGAAAATGTTCTGTTTTCAATTCTATTTTCACTTCTAATTATAAAACTACCCCTTTGTTTTCATTTTGTTTCCTGTTTTCAAAGATATGTAAAAGAAACATTGAAAACAATTTTTTTTTTTTTACTTTTCATTGTTTCTTGTAAAGATCCTCAAAAGCAAGAAATGGAATAAAAATAAGGTGGTAGTTTTGCAATTAAAAGTGAAAATAGAAAATGTTTTCCAAAACCAAGTAGTCCCTAATATATATGCACAGAGACAAGCATGCTTATAATGTGGGGAAGTTGCCAACCAGCTTTGGTCAAACATGTTTTCTCTAATTAGTTGACTACTATTCTGAACTTGCTTATCAAGGGAATCAAAACTAAAACAATATTCTTACTGCAAAGCCTTTTTGACTGGAACTTGTTTTAGTGTTCATGGAGGATTGCATTGCATTTTTAGTTTGTAAATTTTTTCTCACTTGAATGCTTTTTCATTGTTTCAATTTTTTCTCTTGTATGGGAGCGAAGGTCACATAAGCTATTTCAGTATTTATCTGTTGTTATGGGTTTCTTGATACTTAGCTTTTAAAAAGAAGAAGAAAGGTTCTAATAAGAGGAAAAAGATAGATGCAGCTATCAATCTTTTATTTTTTATTTTCATTTTCATTTTCAGTTCAACTGCCTATAAAGACTTTTATCATTGCAGAAGCAATAATTTAATGGGCAATGAAATGTGCTGGCGTGTCACTTCTTATTCATGTGATAAAACTCTGATTTAGATGCTTATTTATCTTCTATTAAGATGGCAATTGCAAAGCTCATGGAAATATATCCTTCAATCTTACAACTGTATATGCTTTTGGCACATCATATTCTTCTATCGATGGAAAAGATCATTGGTTTTTTTTTATTAATTCAATTTGATTCTCGGAACATACCATTTTTATCAAGAAATGGTGGGATCTATACCGTGACTCAGACTTGTGATGCATAACAGAATGCTGTAATTCTATGGACTTATGATCCTCCAGAAAGGCATGCAAGGCTAGTTAAGGATGCGTTGAAGGCTAAGAAGAAAGGGATTAAAAACCTTCAGGTTCTGGTTGAAATAGCATGTTCATCAACTCCTAACCATTTGATGGCTGTGAGGCAAGCTTACTGCTCTCTCTTTGATTCCTCCCTTGAGGAAGACATTATAGCCTCGGTCGATCCGCCCCTCAGAAAGGTAAGAAAATGGATGTTTCTAAGACTCATTGAACAGAAACATTTAGCTGAGTATGTCTAGTCAAGTTCATGTGTCCATCAGGTAAAGGTAGCTATTTGACGGGTAAATATGCATGAAAAGGTTTAAAATACTTGGTACTATGATTTAAGGCTCAAGTTTTCTTGTGCTTTACCTCATTTTGTTGAAGGCTATTAAAAGTGGGTAGTGCTGCATAGTAACTTAAAGTAAAACAAGAGAGTATAAAAGATATTACAGAAGAGCTTCATCAATTTATTATGAAGGGTTGTTTCTTAAATCATGCATTTTTCTTCACCAAAGTAATGTTCTTGAAGAATTAAGTTATGAGATGTGATGATACAAACAAAAATGATGATGAAGATGAGGAAGAAGCAAGAGTATGAATGAAGTATCACAGTATAATTTCTACACAGTTGACACTATTCATTCAGTAAACTAAAGCACTTGTAGAGTGGTAGTTTCTTTGTGGGATCTATTCCTGTTTGACCACGGTTCAAAATTGTAAATTAAATCTTGAAATATCTGTCATAGTATTCAGAATTACAGCTACTTAAGATTCATGTACTCTTCCAAGTAGCTATTAAAGTCAGAATGTACTGTTGAATTCATGATTCACACACATGATGGTTATTGGGCAGATTTTGGTGAGCCTTGTAAGCTCATACAGGTATGATAAAGTGGCTGTAAGTGTGGAGGTTGCCAAGGAAGAGGCAGCAAAACTACATGAAGCCATCAGCAATAAGCAATTAGAAGATGATCATGTTGTTTGGATACTTAGCACCAGGAACCTTTTCCAGCTACGGGAAACTTTTGCATGCTACAAGCAGCTCTATGGGATTACATTGGAACAGGTTTTGCTTTAAAAATTTAGGTTCTTGTGTAAGGTTTTGATTTTGATTCACCAACATTGTAAAATTTTACACTACTGTTGATTTAAATCTTGTAACTTGTTTAAAAATAACTTTTTTTTTTTTTTGGTTTCATTTAGAGTGAAAAAATGCAATTACTACAATGATGTGACAATATCTTTTTCATTAATAGTTAAAAAGTTTACATTGATAGTGGATCGGTTTTGCACACACAAAAATATGATTATTTTATGTATCCGATTGGAATTTGGATGATTTTCTTCACAGGGCATAAAAAATTGTGGTAAAGGTGATTTGGAATCTCTCTTACAAGTGGTAATATGGTGCATAGATTGCCCAGAGAAGCATTTTGCCAAGGTAATTACTAATTTTCTTCTACTGAAAACAGGGTGTGACTTGTTAAATTAATTCATTATTATGTAGGAAACGTAAATGCTAATGCCTTATCATGCTAAGGTGTCGATTCATTAGAATCTATTGAACAAGGGCATTCTCTATATTTTTTTAAAATCTGCTTTCATAGAACTATGCCAGCTAAAAGAAACTGCCTATCTTTTTCTTTTCAACCCATTTCCACTAGTGCTGGCAAAATAGAATTATAGCAGTTTGAGTTCCTTTTTTAATGCTTTGTAAATTTCTAATTGTATAGGTTATATATAGCACACATTAACAATTTAATTTGTCTGCCATCCAAAGGAATTTTTTTTTCTTGGAAAAAGTGGTCAAATGTGATTTTTGGTATTTCACCGTAACATGACTATACAGTTTATCTTAAAAGATTGCTTGGTTTAGGAAATATTTTTATTTTTTATTTTTACTTTTAATTACAAAAATATCACTTTATTTTTATTTTGTTTCCTGGTTTTAAAGATTTGTACTAGAAACATTGAAAAGAACTTTTTTAAGGTGGTAATTTTGTAATTCAAGGTGAAAACAAAAAATGTGTTTCAAAGCTAAATAGTCCCTAATGTTTTTCTTTTTTACTTCTTGAGTAACCATCTATTTTAAGTCGAGCCGAGTATTTAAAGTTTAAGTTTGATTTATATATATATATAAGAAATACCTAGACTTGACAAATGAGTTAGATTTATAACTTGAGCTTGTCTTGATTATCAAATTTGAAGTTTGGACTTGACTCGTTAACTTTGTTTATAATACTTTTATAAGTTTTGAATAATTTTTTATTAATTTAGTATTTAATAAAATATAATTTCACTGACATGAAAATGACTTTAGGTTAAAAATATATTTTTTAATTTTTAAAGTGGTATATATATTTTTTAAAATAAGGTCATTTGTTTAAAATACAACTCTTGAAAATTTAAATTACATAAATAATACGCACATACAATGATAATAATAAAAAAATATATAAACTTCAAATAAATATTATAAATAAAATTTTAATGCAAAGCTTGAACTTGACTTATTTAAATAATTAAACTTAGTTTTGAATTATAATTTATTTAATTAATTAAATAAATGAGCTTAACTGAATATTTAACGAGCTGAACTTAACTAGTTCACTATTTAGTATTTGTAGTTGGAGAGTTCAAAGTCTTACCAATCCTAAGTTAGAATCACATACTTATAATGTGGAACTTAAGTTATATTCTTTGCAATTGGATCTTAACATCTTACCATGCTCTGGAGCCCTTACACTCACTTGAACTGACTGTGTAGTACCCTATTTGACACTGCAACACAAACATCACTACTCGTGTCACTCGTTTGCAATTTGGAAATATTGTGAGAGACTTTGATACCAATTGATAAGAACTTTAGAAGAACTACATAACAAAACCTAGCTATTATAGTTGGAGAAACTAAAGTTTTATAAACTTTACATTAGAATCACATACTTCCAGTATAGGACTCAAAGGCTCATACCTTACAATTGAATCATAACCAAATATATACAATATATCATTATTGTAGTCTTTCAATAATAAATATACAAAAATTGCTCTCCACCAACGTCAAAATTTGACATTAAATTGATTGATTTGGATGACCAATTTGACATTAAAGATTATATAATATAACTGTGCAATTTGTTTTGAGAGCAATTGATTCCAATCTCATTTTTCTTAACTTTAATCAATCTAACAGGTTGTAAGAGATTCTATTCTTGGCCTTGGAACGGATGAAGATTCTCTCAACAGAGCTATTGTAACTCGAGCTGAAATTGACATGTTGAAAGTGAGATTCGAATATGCTAACATGTATAAATCCAGTCTTGATGATGATGTTATTGGAGATACCTCAGGAGACTACAAGGACTTTTTGATGACTTTGCTAGGGAAAGGTCCAAAGGGAGAGTGATACATTATTGTGTTCTTGGATTGCTTTTAATCTGCATTGGATGGTCTAGACTCTGTAATATATGTTGCTCTTATATTTCAAAAGAATTAGAATTTATGGTTGAAACTAAAACCATTTATTTGTTAATTATTATTCTGCTTTGACTCTGTGTAAATTAATTGTATCTTGATGTCTTCATGAAAATTGGAAGAACTTGGTGTATAATAAATGAGGGGTTGATGGTGTGAAACACATAGTAGATGTTTCCATTGATGCAATTGTAATCTGTAAGTGCTATTGAAAATTGTACTTGAATGCACTAAAACAAAATTTCCCTATGAGTTGTAACACCTATGTCTATTAATAGACTTTAAATTAATTAACCCAAAGAATTACAGAATATTTTAGATAGTTCAGTATTCATTTTAGGTGATTCAATCCAACACATCTATTAACTTTTTAATAATTGAATGGTATGGTTACGCTCATACATGAGTGAATATGCAGATTATGAATAGAAAGATTAAATTGCCACCTCTAATAATAGTTCAAGCTTCTAGTCATATCAAGACATGTTCTATAATTGACAATCATTAATGTTGGCCACCGAAGTTGAATTTGTAATTGAGAGGGGCTCTTGATTAAATCCAAAACTCATTACCTATTCAAAAGCATTGTATCAGAAATCAAGGGTAGTTGCTGTTAAAAATATTCAATTTGAATACCTACCTAGTTTTTCAAGTCTAAAAATCTTCTATTCCAAGTGTTAACTTGGAAATTCCCCTGCATACAAGCGTTGGATGTAAGTAACCGAGTCTAAGTCTTACAATAGGTGAGATCCACTATTTAAATCATAACTCGTTCAAAAATCTAAGTAATAAAGTATAGAGTGTAGAATCAAAATCACAGAACAGTGTGAAAACCAATGTGCATAATCAAAACGTGTAAGTATGAAGCGTGCTAACAATTAAACCAGAATGTGATATGCTACAAGGCTATATGCATATCAAATTAATGCAGTATCTACTACAATACATTATAAAGTATCAGTACAGGTTTGGGCTTGGATGTTCATTTTGACAATATTTGAATTGTAACAAGAAAAGAAAACATATGACAAACAAAGATTTGATATGTAATTTAATTAAAAATTTTGAGTTATATCACATATTACAAACTTTTTAACTCAATTTTATTGAGTTACTGCAACAAAATCACAATAACTATTTGTTGTAGTAACTCGTTACTACAAACAATTTACCCCTTCTTGCTCTTGATGACCTTACATCTAACTCCTCCAAGTTTAGAGAATTCTTTATTGAGGATTGACGGGACCCTTATCCAAAATAAAATTGTTGTAAATAAAAATAAGTAAAGTTGTTAAATGAGTTAGCTCTAACTCATGTAGAAAGCCTATGAAGCTAAAAAGCTAACTATGTGAAAAGTTTATATGACCTAAAAAGTCTATATAAGATTAAGTGGGTTATGCCTATCTCATAGATTAATTATCTTTAAAAAATTATTATAATTAATTAAAATATTTATTTTATATTATATTTTTTACTATAAACTTATAAATAAATAAAATTGTTTAAAAAAATGAAAATAATTAAATTTATATAATATTAAATATTTAGAATGAATTATTGTTATTAAATATTATTAAGTAAAATGATAATTTATTATTAAATTAAGTTATATATTTATCTATTTTTTGTATTATTGATAATTATTAAATCATAATAACATTTTTTATTCATATAATTACATAAATAATTATTTATCACATTATTTTATAATTTTATTTGATTATTAACCGTAAATTTTTTTACATTTTAATATTTTTATATTATTATTATTTATTTATTTTTATAAAATTATCTTAAGAACATTAAATGTTCAATAAATATTTTTAAAGTCACAATAGAGATAGAAAATTGACAACAAAAAATAATGATAAATAATTTGTTAAGTTTTTCGTTGTTATCAAAATATTTGAAATAATTTATTTAAATAAAATAATAAAATTTAATGTGTTAAAAAATAAAATGCAAAACTATCATCATAAAAATTGTAGACATATGGTATTTAATATTATAAAATTTATGGACATAGCTAAATAACTTGCGAATTTAATAAAAATTAATGCATGTTTATAAATTTAAATTTTGTCTCATCTTAATTTGATAAAATTTATTTTTAAAGTGAAATAATTTAATTTAATAAAATTAATAGAATTTTTTATATTTTGAAATGTATTTTATATATACAATATATTTTTAAACTAATTTGAAATAAAATAATTTAATAAAAATTATAAACAACACATGTCTTTTAATAAAAAAAATAGCATAATAATTATTTATTACTTTTTGAAAATTGTGGACTAATATACCTTTAATACTGACCTAACCCACCTGGGTCTAAAGCCGAAGTAACCCCACTACTATACTGCCTTAAAAAAAAAAGGGTCTATAGAGAATGGGTCATGTATGGTAAACTGTGGGCTATAACCCTGTATTGTCAGCTCTACCAATAAGCAAGTCAATATCTCATGCCTAATAATAACTCATTTTATTCTAAATAAAAATTATAGTTGTATGTCTATTCCATAAGATGGAGCTTAGTTAATATATTTTAAATGTGTATCTTTCCTATGGTATATTATTAATGATGTTTTAAAAACAATTTGAAATTTTATATTAAAAAATGAGAATGGAGAAGAGAAAGAAGTAAAGAATATAAATGAAGTTTCAAATTTTAATTTCAATAAATTTGACACCATTCATTGAACAAAGGTTGCTTTATGTGTGAGATGTGGACCCATTTGATAGACTTGAGCATAAGACTAAGGCTCCGTTAATTTTTATCATCACAGTTGTAGTTATTTAAAATTTATGAACTATTTCAAGCCAATATTAACATAAATTATTGTGCGTTCATCTCTTCTAACATAATAAGTACTTCTAACAATTGTCAACCATTATTTAAATGCAATTACATGTTTAAGGAGTTAGTTTTGTTCTAGTCATAAATTCTCAAAAGAAACAATAAATACAGTTAGGAAAAAAACTTAGGCTTAATTTGAAACTACTTGTCAATAAGAATTTCTGAAAGACAAAAATAAAGAAGAAAAATTAATTAAAACTTTCTTATAAAATTAATATCAATTTGTGTTCTCTTACTTTTTTTAAAAAAACTGTTTCATTTAATTTATTATATAGTTAATTTTTATTTGTTAAAGAAATTTTATTCATATTACTTTTTTTATAAAAAATTATTTAAAAATTTATCCAAACAGAGTCTTAGTCCTTTTACCGATATAAATATCATGGATCATCTCATCATATATATTCCTTGCAATAATATTAATGTGAAATGAAAAATAAAAAAAACAAAGTTTCATTATTAATTCAGTCAATTAGATTGAGTTAAAGTAAACAACTACACTCAATGTCTACTTGGCACAATCTTTGGGCTTAAAGGAGACAATATTCTTTGGTAGGTCGAAGCCAACCAAGAAATTTTGTTGAACCAAGCTCCCAAGAATGGCATAAGGCTTCTTATGACAAATATTTGTGAAAGCCAAGCAATAAATCCTTTTTGCAACTGGAGCAAAGGTGTTGAGCGCATTCAATTGGATATCTGCACCTTTAAAATGTAAAGTAATTATTGGAACCTGTGGGGGTTTAGATCCACTGTCGTAGCAAAGAATCGATGGTTTATCTCTAATCCTAACACGCTTTGACTTAACTACACGTTTCACTGCTGATGCCAACTTAGAGTAAACATCATTTGGAAAATAAGTTTCGACCTCTTGTGTGCCAATTATGGCATTTCCATCTCCACTGGATCCCAAAGTGGAGTTTCCAAGCTCTATTCTCTCTTTTCCCACACTAAATGCTTCTATGTGTACGAAATAAGAGGCTTTTGGGTCTTTTTGGTATATGGGTGTTGAGACAGTGCCTTCACCAGAAACCACAGCATCATTTCCAAATTTGATTATGCTTGAGGAGTTAGGATGTGAGAACGCTGGCGCTAAACAATAGGAAAATTTTCCACCTATTAAGGAATCGAGTTGAGATACAAGGGATGTTGGTCCACGTCCAAAGCTAACTACGCCAGAAATTTCCTCACCAAATGCTGCAAGATTATCATGCCCACATCCTATTACTGTTCTAGGAAATTGCATAAGATTTCCACTGGTGGATTTTAGTGTGAATGTGTCTACACTGAGATCTCCTTGTGTTCTTGAAATATAATCGTCCCTAAAATAATTGCAAATATGTTTATAATCCAAAGAGCAGGTGGTATTTGGCACAGATGTACATGTAGTAGAGGAGCAAGGAAGGGTTTTGTATGTTGAAGATTTTAAAGGATCAAATAAAGGAGGGGTTTGTTCATAAGGACTACAAGGCTTGCATTGCATCCATGTAATGTCAGCGCTTATGTCAAAAAAACCAAAAATTTGGAATGGTGGGGTGCCAATTGAATAGGACAAGAAGTATTCGTATTCATCCCAACCTAGACTGATCTCTGGTGTGTTTCTAGGTGCAGAACCTTTGTTGACATGGTTGATTGAACCATAAAATGGTGATTTTGGAGATTTTCTATGAACTAGTTCCACACCAAAGCCACCATTGAAAGCGTTGGTGAGAACGATGTTGTGAAGGCATAATGATAGGAAAAAAAGAGAGAGAGATGAATAACATGCAATTGTTGCCATCACTTCCCTTTACTAATTATTCAACCTTTTTCAGCCTTTCTTATAGAGCTTTATTATAGGTATTTTTTTAATTTACTGTTCTGCAAAGTAAGCATTAAATGAAATAGTATATATTAATTAATTTGAATAACATATAAATTATTTAATACTTTTCCCCTTCTAAATTATAAGTATTATATGCATGAGACAATTCTTTTTTTGAATTGGGTAGTATTATTATGAATTGCAAAACACTCTCTAGGTATTTAATAATTAACTAATTAATATAGTAAATATAATATAAATTTATGATTAATTTGACTTTTTAATTTTATAATATTTTTAAAATATAATATAAAATTATATATATATATATATATATATATTATTAATGTTAATAAATAAGTTAATTATGTTTTTATCAAACAATTGAAAGGTCGAATAGTTTGAAATTTCAAATTGAATTTGGCCTATTCTCGTTTTTAATATAAGTTTTTAAAACCAACATTAAGTATTGCCGACATCCTACAACTGAATTTATTTATTTTTTTAATATTCATTTAATTATACATATTAAAAAGTGTTTTACCTAACATAATTTTATTTAATTACATTTATAATTGTTGACAGCATACAATAAATTAGAAGTTACTCTAACTTTGTAATTACAATAGTCTGAATTTATTTATAAAAATAAATAAGAAATTTATTGATACAAATAAAAAGAAGTTATATATTAAATACTTAGAAAGAGATAATTTTGTGTGTATTCAACCTATTAGAACAAAATTACCTTTAACAAAAGTATATAAAAATACTTTCAAATTATTTGTTAAGAAATATATACTTATTATAAAAAAAAAATTGAGAAAAGTTTTAAGAACGTTCACATTTAAGAAATAATACGTATTATATTGAGGTTGATTTTCCATGTACTATACAATAATTTTAATTATTAAATAAAAATATGGAGGACAATGTTTAAATTTAATAACTTTATAAAATTAGAATATTTATTATTGTTGAAATGATACTGTAATATGTAATTATTTGTGATTTAATAATTATTTAAAATTTTCTTTAATTCTATTTATAAGAATTAAATATTCAATTAATCAAAGCTAATAAAAAATATTATATGCATATATTAATTAAGATTGTATTTCAAAAAGATTTATAGTATTAAATGATTAAATTATTAATTTATAATTTATTTATTTTTTGCTAAGAAAAGGGGCAAAACGCCCAACAACCCAAAAATCTACACAAAAGGTTTAGGAAACACAGAACTACAAGAGTCTAAGCTTAGAAAGGGAAGAAGAGGGATCCATAAATTGGACACAGGGAGAGAGGAGGTCAAGGCCTATCTTGGCAAGAAAATCAACACAACCATTTGCCTCTCTACAAATATGAGATAGCCTAATAAAACTAAAAAACTTCAAAGCCTCCCTAATGTTACAAATTAAAGGAAATAAAGGATGGGAGGCTGGTTGCAACTTCAAGATGAGAGAGATGGCTTCCTTAGAATCTGACTCAATCCATATAGCTGGCAGCTTAAGTTGAATCACCATCTGAATACCAAAGAAAAGACTCCATAACTCAGCAGCCACAGGGGAACAGAGATCAATTTTCCTATAGAAACCAACAATACAATTACCATGAGCATCCCTAATTAGACCCCCACAGGCAGCAACACTAGCAACTTTAGATATAGCACCATCAACATTCAATTTGAAATTATCAACAGGAGGAGGAAACCATCTAATAGTCCTATGACATGATTTGGAGACTTCCCTGCAAATTGGTGAAATATAGTTTGCATCATAAAGAGCCTTCATTACAATAGTATTAAGATTATTAGAATGATTGTTGAAGATAAAATCATTTCTGTCCAACCATAGATACCAAAGGATAGTACCAAAAATTAAATTCCAATTCTAAAATTTGTTAGCATTCAAAAGAGAGAGATTATTTGTTAACCAAGCGGACAGGCCAACACTAAAAAACTTGACCCACTGGTCAACAAAAATGAACTGACTCCAAACAGTTTGAGCAAAAAAACAGTCCCTTAACACATGCATAACAGTCTCTTGATCACTACCACATCTAATACATAGAGGGCAATCAGTCATCTGTCTTCTAAACCTTTCTTCATTAGTTAATAATTTTCCATTAGCAGATTTCCAAAGAAAAAGAGAAATTTTGGGAGGACCCTCCCACTTCCAAACAGCCTTAAACAAGGATTGATCAATCCTACCATTAGGCCTATCATGGTTCAGCAAGGAAAAAGCAAATTTGATTGAAAATAAACCATTACTAGTTAAGGCCCAAAACACAGAATCTTGGGATTCAAATTGAGTTGGAGATAATTTGGCAAATCTGAGCAGGAAGGGAAGGGGAAATTTTATTCCAATCCCACTCTCCATTAGTGGAAAACATAGCCACCGGAAGATCTAAATCAGAATTAGGAATTTGAAGCAGAGCATAATGAGAAAGATTACTAAAATTAGGGACCCAATTATCAGTCCAAAATTTTGTAGCCATACCATTCCTAACAAACCACCTCAGACCTTTAGAAAAATGAGACCAAACAGACATCATACCCTTCCAAAGGTGAGAGACTCTAGCATTATTCCTAAGGGCAATATCACTATTCAGTTTAAAATTATACTTATGAATAAGCACCTGAGCCCAAAAATCAGAAGGAGAATTAGTAAGCCTCCAACAAAGTTTTATCATATAAGCTTTATTAAGGGTATTCAAATCCCTACACCCCAAACCCCCTTCATTCTTAGGCAAACAAATTTTCTCCCAACCTAAGAGATGACATTTCCTACCATTCAACAAACCCCAAATGAACTTTCTACAAATGCTATTTATCTCATGTCAAATGGAACTAGGAATGATAAGAGATTGCATAACATAGGAGGGAATGCTCATTATACATGCTTGAGCAAGCGTCACCCGACCAGCAAAGGACAACGATTTCATTTTCCACATGGATAATTTTTTCCTAACCTTATCAATCAAAAAGGAGAATTGATTCCTGGATGGTTTCTTTGAGACAATAGGGATTCCAAGATAAATCCCAATCTGGTTACAAGACTTGATACCTAAACACTATTATAGAATTTTTAATGGTGGGATCAGTATTATTAGAGAAAAAAAAAATAGAGGATTTGCCACTATTAATTTTCAGGCCAGAGGCAGTACAAAAATTAGTCAAAACCTCCTTTATAATCACAACTTGATTAAGACAAGCTTTGGAGACTAGAATGATGTCATCAGCAAAGAAAAGATGGGACACTTTAGGTCCTAAGGGACTAAAAGAAAAAGGAATCCAATCATTATTCAAAATCTTATCATTAATTAAGTGAGCAAGTTTCTCCATACACATTACAAAAAGATAAAGGGAGATAGGGTTCCCTTGCCGAATTCTCCTAGCAGGTAAAAACGCCTTTGTTATCTCATTATTCCAATTAATGGATAAAGAAAAGGAAGAAATGCAGTGATAAATTAAATTAATCAGATCAGAAGGAAGGCCAATTTCCTAGCAGGTTTGAATAATAAAACTCCATCTAAGCTTGTCATAAGCTTTCTCAAGATCAAATTTAATAATCATAAAACTATTTTTGTACTTAAGGGAATTTAAAGAGTGATTTAATTCTTGTAAGATAAGAGCATTATCAATGCCCTGTCTGCCAGGAATAAAACTAGTCTGGTTGGCTGAAACAATGTGAGGCAGAATAGTCCTTAATCTATTAGCAACAATTTTGGTTATGATTTTATAGCTAACATTATATAAGGAAATAGGCCTAAAATTGCTAATATATTCAGGATTATCTGTCTTAGGAATAAGGGTAATATTAGTTTCATTAACCTCAGCAATTTTATCAGGATTATGAAAAACATCAAGGACAAATATGAAAATAAAAGGGGCAAGAAATTTCCATTGGTTTTTATAAAATAAAGCATGAATCCCATCAGGCCCAGGGGCTTTAAAGTTCCCAATAAAGAACAGAGATACCTTAACCTCCTCAATGGAAATGGGAGAAGATAAGCTAACCCTATCACAATCCCTCAAAGTTGGAAATGAGCTTATAGTGGTCAGCCAAGAAATATCAGAAGTGGAATCAACATATATCTCTTTAAAATAATTCACAACCATAGATTTTAGCAGTAAGGGGTCATATTTCCAATTGCCAGATATGTCTTTTAAAGATTCAATAATATTTTTATTCCTTCTAAAAATAGCAGCTTTATGAAAAAAATTTGTGTTTCTATCACCTAACTTAATCCAATTAGATCTATAATGATGAAACCAGTAAACTTCTTCCTGGTCCAAAATTTGTTGGTATTCAGACTAAAGAGTTTTCATAAGATTACATAAAAAAGGATTTTTCATAGACCCTAGTTTGCAGAAAATTCCCTTAATTCTACTTAAAATTTGCTTTTTCTTATTGAAAATATTTTCAAAAGAAATCTTATTCCATTCAGAAATATTACCTTAATCTCTATATATTTTCAGTCCAGGTACTAGAAGGTACCCAGGACTTTTTAACGTGATCAGGAAAATCTGGATGAGAGATCTAGGGAGCTAAGAACTTAAAAGGGTTCACAGGGTTCACAATATTATTAATTGATCTAATTCTAAGCCAGATTCCAGCATGATCAGACTTTAAAAATAGAAATATGGGTAACTGAACAATTGGGGAATTGAGTATACCAATCATCATTTACAACCACCCTATCTAACCTTTCTTTTAAGCATCCTTTATGCCAAGTAAAAGGGTTACCCTTATAACCCAAGTCATAAAGGTCACAACTATTTAAACAATCAGCAAATTTTTTCCTATCTTGTTGACTTACAGAACTACCACCACATTTTTCCTAATCATACAAAACTGAATTAAAGTCTCCTGCTAAACACCAAGGACATTGGACAATTTTACTGAAATCCATTAACTCTGCCCAACAATCAGATCTGGCTTTACTCTGAGGACTAGCATATATAGATGAGA